ACAGAATATAGGAAAAAACGAAACTGTGAGAATGGAAAATAAATGGTGTGAAAATTTTTTTGTTTCACACTTTTTGAAGTTTTTGTTAGTTTGTCTTTTTTGTACCAGCTAATGATATCTGTCCAACGATCCAAGTAGACATAAACAAGGGGATAACACCACAAGGTTTGATCTCGCAGTAAGATACTCATGAACACAATCAGAGATATGTGGGAACAAGTCAATTAATCGATGCCAATTATTGGTGGTAACAAATGCTGCAGGTTGCTTCCGGTAAGTACTATATCGAGACATTTTGGCAATATTTTAGACATTAAGATGTTGCGGAGGTTATTGACCACCTGAGTTTGATTGGATAATACTTCCAGTGTTAGTGCGCAGAACTAAGAAGTCACTGCGTGACGGTTACTAGGATAGTTGTATATTAAGGTAGTTTCGGAGAATCTGGAGTTTTGGTTACACGGTCGAAGACTAATAAAGACAGAAAGAGACCAGAAGTAATCATTTTACAGATTCAGACGTATACCTCTTCGGTATATGGCGCACAGTCGAATATAAACAAATTTCTACGGCAGATTGCACAGATCCCCCATGTCGTCGGCTCATGACTCAACTCATCCACCCTTCTGTTCGACCCTGTTTTAATTGTTTTGTGTAAATATAATTGTAAAGGCTTGAAAAGGAATTCACCGAAAACATGTTCGCCTATATTGTGCTTTCTTGACGCGGTCTGACAGGTAGAACATTCACACACACACACACACACACACACACACACATTTTCTACTTTATCTCGATTCTGATCCTAACATGTTTTACTTATTTTCATTTCATGACCTCTCACTCCTCTACTCGAAGCCGCTCCCGTACCTGATTCCGCTGATCGTAATCGACTCAACTTCACTCCTCGCAAGTATAGACGGAAACTTCCTACTCCTCGCTCGCTTGACGAAGCCAAATCATCTGGTGAGCTGAAATTCTCTCAGACTAGAAACACTAAGTATACCATTATTGCCTTTTTCTCAGTGACTAGAAAAAAGTCTCTGCTATTCAGTCGTTTACTCGACCACTTCTCATCTGCGAGGCACAGCATGTGCACTTCACATCCACCGTATCCCGTGGCTGGAAACTGGGGCCAATGACTCCGTTCTCCCGTTTAGTTAATTACACCATCCAGATCGAGAACTACTTCGATTTGAAACGTTTTTGTTATCCTCACTGTCGGGCTGGTAATAATGTTTGCTGTTATGATCGTCGCTTGATACGTTCTAGATTGCTTGGTGAGCTTTTACACGTTTCTTTTCGTTATAAATAAATAAATGTCTCTTTACTTCCTTTTTCATTTATTGAATATACAACTGTACATTCAACATTCAGGAAGGGCGGCCGCGGCCATATGGAGGCTGCCTGGGAAGACGGGCGGCGGCGGAGCGGTTCGAACCCGGGACTCACAGGTCACAAGTTGGTGACCTAACCACTTGACCACCACCGCTCCTTGATTGTATCGCTCATCACCAACAACTCTATAGAAATACTTCATCCGGAAGATCTTTTTTATTGTTCTGCACAACATATGTATAGCCCGAAGGATACAATGTATGAAATGTGCGTAGCATAATCTGCATGATTGCATTCATTGAATTCGATGGTTTGTTGCATTCAGTGTTCAATAGATTAGGGAGGTGATGTGTCAGAGAGGTTGTTTGTTTTACCAGTAGAATCTCTCTCTTTGAAGGGGTTATATTATGCGGTGGAATATAACCAAATGTCTTATTTCTCTATGACCAGTTTATCTGGAGAGACAGTACGGCTATATGTCCTTCTCTGGCAATAATAAACAGCTTCACCAAGAGTTCTATTACACCTGCATTTGTACTTCTATTTCCATTCGCAGTCTCTGTTTTGAATTGTACATAAGTTCTTATTTCGTTTCCATTTATCCATCTGATTCAGAATTGCTCCCTTTCGAATGTGAAGTTTGCGGGAAACGGCTCGAACGGGCTAGAACATTGATGTTGCATAAACGTGCTGTTCACGAAGGTAAATGATAGTAGATGTTCTAATTTTCGACTGTCTTCGCATGTGGCAATCCTGGTTATTGAATCTCGGGCTTATTACCCTTGCATTTTCCAGGGTACCGCCCATTCGCTTGCGAGTTTTGCGACTTTCGGTTCACACAGAAGGGTCATTTAAAGCAGCATATTGAGGCGGTTCATAAAGGTAAGTCGCAACCTAATGTGAGTGACGCGTCCGACAATCGTTGCCCCATTTTTATTCTGACTTGGCGAATTCTTATGGAAAGACTTACTGTCCTCCAATGAGATAACTGTAGTTCTCAAAGCGGATGTAATTAAATTTGCTGCAACCATGAAAACCAGATCCAGGTGTCTGACTAGACTAAACCCTGTGGCTTTCCACATAATGATTTCGCTCGCAGTTCACGTCTTATCTATTAAAAGTAGCCGAGAGATAATTGTCCCAATGGACTAAATCCTAGTTCCGTGGCAGAGCTAAACTGTCTACAGAGGCGCATGGCTCCAATCTATCATATCCAGTACAATGGGCCTCATCTATTTCTCCCAGCTACTGAGTAATGTTTCGATCGTACCTCCACCTGTCCGGGTGAGCCTTTAACTATTTCGGATATGTTTCGCATCTTAATGTGCCATGAATCCAGTTTTCTATACTACGGTTCCACCAAGGATGACATTCATACCCCTCAAACGATCACCATGTTCTGTTTGAATATTTCCGTCTTTGTGCACCTACGTTTGTTCGCTAACTTTGACAGAGCGCTAAGGGAGTCAGTTTACACCCCCTTTCGATGTTATGGGCTAACGCAATTGACCAAATAGGATTAGGCGTAAATGAGATGGCCCAATCAGACTTGAAGGTTAAAAAATGAGCTGCACGATATGCTTCTGTTCTATTCCTATCAGTGGCACGGATTAGTGCTGGGGAAACCATCCTAACCGGATCGACGAAGGTGGTACCCAGACTGCGGTGAAACAACATAGCATAATGTCTCAGATTGCACATTCTTTACTTTGATAAAAATATGGTTACGAAATGTTTCAAGTGCTTAATCCAAAATTGTTTTTATTTTCAAGATTTTTCATTTTTTTCGATTTACCAATGGAAAAATTTCACTTCAGAGTCACTTTCTGTTTGGTCAACCGTTACCAATGCGTTTTCATGTGGTAGTTTTGGTTGCTGTCTTTTGACTTCTCATTTAGATATAGTAGTAGAGGAAACATTGGAATGTGGTAAGCAGAGTCAGGGTAAAATAGGGGATTTCTATGGACCAAGGTTGCTAGGACAATGGGTGGATGCACCAGCCCCACTGTTTACGACACTCAGTTTTGCTGGATAGACATCGCGTTCGAATAGTTTGTGGTAACACACACTGGAGTAAGCTGAGTCAAACGGTCGAGAAGCACACCTGGCTGTTCTAGTCTGCCTTATCACCGTGATTCAATGTGTCTCACACCGTAGTTCATCGCAAAGGACGACACCAAGATGCTTCTCAGAGGAAGCACGCGGCANCGGCAGCAGCTCATGTCCAAGAACGTACAATCAAAACGATTGGTTTGATTCAGTGATATTATTCAGCATTTCGGTTCCTTAAATTGTATGTAGTTTCTAACAAACCATTTGTGAACTGCATCGAGTGCTATGTGGATATTAGATCCCTGGGTTATTGCTACTACTCTCTCGAATGTTTAGCATCATTTGCAAATAGTCAGGTTTGTGAGTAGATAATGTACACCAGCAGTAGTTATCCTTAACGCTAAACCTCACGTATCATCCCATTTAGGTTTCATTTTGTTCTCTACTCCAGGTCCTAGGATTTATTCTTCCGGTTTCGGTGACTGAACACATTGGTCTCGTGTCCATGCAATTCATTCCTTCTACTTTTGATAACAACAATAACAATAACCTATCGCTGCAACAAAAAGATTTCAAGATACTGAAATAAGCTTTCCCCGTGATAAATTTGAAAGAATCCAGAAATATTGTGCGACACGATATCAAACGAGATCACCTTTTTGCGTGATACGCTAACAAGATTTCTTGGTTATCCCGAGGATTTTGTTGACAAGCTCAGTAGATTGAAGATTGAAAAGCCCATTGTTGCGTCAGCGTCTAGATTGGAGATCACGATTTGTCTTCCATTCAAAGGTGATGATGTAACTAATCTAATCCAACAACGGTTATGATCAGTTGTCAACCGGACTTATTACCCAGTCAAACCCAGAATTGTTCATAGGACTAGGAGTGTACCCGTCCCCCCGATTAAAGAGCGCCCACCTCTGTACGCCAACTCAAAGGTAATCTATCAATCCGAATGCGGGTGTGGAGTCACTTAGATAGGCAGAACAGCAAGGCCATTACGTAAGCGGGTTTTAGAACACATTCCGAACTGGATTCAATGCAAGATTGCCATGTCAAAGTCACAGCCGATAACTGGAAAGGACCGTGCTTACAAGCCAAGCTCATTGATTACCAAGCTCTTACTGATGACGCAACACCTTGTGGATCGTGAGAAAGCATTCCGAGTGATTTTTACTAATGATAACACCACACCGATCACCGAGGCGATTGCAATCAAGCGATGAAAACCAATTCTGTGTTAACAAAAAGACTTGTTCATCATCTTGGCTTTATCTTGGTGACGCTTCCCCTCATTTACAAGTATTTATTTCGTAATCCCTTCCCAAGCCCTATATAAACTATTTTTGTCTGTNTGTAGTAGACACCAGTTGAGATGCAGCGAAATCGTCCGGAACATAAATCGTGCAATGTTGCCATACTGGTTTCTCTTTTCAGAATAAAGATTACCATGATTTACTGAACAACTTCTCGTCTTGTGATATTGATGTTTAAAAACATCCTAATGTCACTATAATTCAACAATTGTTCATTAGATTAGTTTGGATTGTAAGATTATTAGACAATTCAGGCGGTATTTTCATCCGAAAATCGGAAAATCCGCATTTCTCTTGAACCTTGCAAAATCTCGTTCTTGTTTCAACGCATGCTCTCGGTTTGCGTTTCTTAACCATCTGGGGCAATACCGGAACCACAGTCGTATTTTAGGCCACGGTAAGCTAACTCATCTAAACGTACTGCAGAATTTGGGACCTGTGAGTTGTCTTAAAGGCATACGCTCGGTTTTACGGCTTCTTATTGACTGTGATTTCCACACCGCCCGGCTACTCCGTGGGTCAGGTTAATCGAACTCTCGTACCGTGAGTCCCGTCGAAAAGCACCTACTTTGGATGGGGTAGCTGGGTAGTATTGGAGCAAAAGCAGACTAAGGATTGATTTCTTTCTTACCATAACCTGCTTTGCACACAGTCAGGAAGCAAACAGCTCTGAAATAAAGTTCTCATTGTTGGACTTCGATGCTCACATTGTGGTAATCACTATCCTATGGTCTCGGTGGTTCAGGTTTAGAGCCTCACCATCATCATCATCTCTATTTCCGTTGTATCATATTGCAGTATTCTGGTCGGCCGTTCCCTCTTCATAAAACCTGTACAGTTGAGCATTCGATAAAGAAGAGTAAACTAATCGGATAAATCGATTACATGTATAAGAATCAAATTGAGTTTTTTAATCCTTTATATCTTCCTTATACCACGCCATTGGCGATGACAGGTGCACGCCCGTTTGGATGCAAACGTTGTGGTCGGCGCTTTTCCACACCACGTGCTGCTAAGCTACACCAATGCGAGCGGAAAACACGTAAGCTTACTTTTAATCTACACAGAGAGGATTTCTGAAATGTTGTATTCGTTTGGTACTATCTATCCAATACCGATTGAACGGATCGGTCATTGGATAAATATTTTAATATAATACTCATTCAGACTACCGTTGTTGCACATATCACGAATTCCACCTCCAGAACCAACTATGATCCTAACACGGTAATGACATGCATGGTAAACGTGAATTTTGTCTTCACGATTGCACAATGATGCGAGTTACAATTAAGAGATCAAGCTCCATGATCCAAAGACCACATAGGTGAAATTTGGAAGTGAAACATGTAGGTATGATAGGAAAACACTTTTATGAGTCATCGGTTTGGTTCTGGCAATTTGAGAATAGCTCCATTGTTCCTTTGGGTTCGGTCGTAGACGTTTTGCTTTGAAGAAGAAATCTACATATTTGATCGATCGGCGGAAGAACTGGAATTTTCCGGTTTGCGGTTTGAACCTAAATGATGGAATGCACTTGAAGGGCGCTTATAAACGTTCTAGAAGGTTCTCTGCTGAATGGTTAACGGTGATAATGTCCTGATCGATAACCGTTCCTGATCATGGCTTCCATAATATCCTAAATTATTGCGGAAGTTCTTTTTTATCGTCAAACGGCAGCCTTGTGTATTGGTAGAGATGTCGATGTCTGTTTAGTATCAGCAGCTACTGGATTCTGGCGCCACATTGATTGTGCTCATGACATCATCATCTATCCAGAGTAAAGAAAACACCTCCAAAATTACTTAATGTATTAGCTTTTTCTCCTTGCTGCAGAAGTCTTCTGTATGAACTCAGTGCCTTATCCATTCTATAGCAAAGTTTCGTTAAGTTTCATTGTCTTTATCAACTTTTCCTTATCACTTTAACTCACATTCCCATATCATGTTTTTCGATACGCATGAAGATACGGATGATATGCGAAATACATCCAAAGACGCCGATCTCGTTGTCTCCAAGATGTTCAATATTCCAGTATAAAAGCACTGATTTTTAGTCATCTCAATTGACCTAGCTCTGCAGTGCAACTTAGGTGAAATTTAGGGAGTATCGTTGTCGTGAAATGTTGGTATCTGCGTTAGTTGCTTATTATCGGCCCAGTTGAACGTCGATTACCACCCCTTATTCTTCCCACCTCATACATTCCACTACATTCATTTTTCTTTTCTTCCGTTGTGTTTTATCCAGGTTGTCCTGCGTTTGGATGTGGCATATGTGATGCGCGATTTCGCAATGGAGTCGAACTGCGCAAACATGGACTCCGTGCCCATGCTGGTCAGTGAATCTGTTGCGTTACTATATTTTCGCTGACGTCTTCTGATTCATCTACGTTACTCTCTCATCGTGATCTGTTTGTTTGTATGTGCGCTCGCGCGCTCGAACCCCAACTTAATACACCTGTTTTTCCTGTTCTCTTTCACGCATCACACTACTCAGATGAGAAAACATGTGATTGCTCCGTGTGCGGAGCACCGTTCCGAACCGAAGCAGAATTGGCCAATCATAGATTGAGTACACATGAATGTGAGTCCAGTTGGGTGCTTCCTTCTTTGTGAGTAGTTCGAATCATAAAATGTTCACAAACACGAGGATGTCGATCTATTCCGTATACGGGCAACATGGTGACGCTGTGCAAAATATGATGAAAATAGCTGTACTATTTTAACTTTAAATTTAATCAACCCGAAGCATGCAACTTGTCTGCACTGTTTATAGCTGAATCTATGTACATACGCTTCACGGTAATGTTTTTGCCTGTTTTACCGCTCATTCATTCCGGCCCAGTTGAATGGCCCACTTGTGGGGCCTCGAGCCTTTGAACGAATAGTTTAACCTACAAAGCACCAGGTCGGTCCTTCAAATCCACGATCTATTGGGAATGGCCGGATCACACACTTCTTCCCGGAATCACTTCATACTCCTCATTACGAAGCGATGGATTCAGAATTCGATAACTGCCCCAGATAAGCTAGTCACCAGTACCCCGTATTGATCGCTTTGACTTCATTGTTCGCCAGCGTTTCGATTTATGTTACCAGTTAACCAAATACCGCCCGCAGACGAATGTCAATCACTGATTGCACGGGGAAATTCCCCAAAATCTTTCGTATTGTCGTGCCAGATATCGATTAAAAAATTTCCCCGCCTGCACGTCAACCAATTAAAATAGCATTATTCCCTGTTCACTGCACATTTTAGTTAATTGCACAACCATTGCTGCTAAACATTCTGTCCACCTTTTTATGTTATCTTTTTCATTTGTTTATCATCTTTTTAATCTTCTGTTTTCTCACTTCAATGTAATTTTTGATTCGCACTGAAACCTCGCCCATCTGGTTATACCATCGGCGTTTGGTTTCTGGTTCTTTCTTCTTCTGTGAAAACACATTCACCCAGAAACTCTTCATTGATAAGGAATTCTCCAGCTGACACAGTGAGTTCACGTCATTTGGGGAGCAGTAAACGCGGAGCCCAATACCGTAAAATCGTTTTTGCTGAAACTGTTCGAATAATGACACTACGAAACGTTTAATCGGTAATATTTCTATGGTGTGCATTCGATGCTTGTATTTCGTTCTCAATACTTGCTTGGTCTCGTGTTTGTTGAACGATTAAGATTTCCGGATTACGGTTGTGAGACCGTGAGTTTATGCATAGAAGAGGTCCATCGAATGGGAGGTGCTAACCATCGACAGTGTGTGATTGAGCGATCAGGTTAGTTGTCCCGATATAAGCCGTCGTTTGTTTGAGCGCCTCGGCCGGTTATTCTGTTCCGCAACGAATACGAATGAACTTGCTTCGCTGGTTAGGACACGTGTTGCAAATGCTTCACAAGCGTCTGTCGCATCACTCCGTACTTTCAGTTACCACTCCAGAGTAGTGGGTATTATGTGTAGGTTATCAGAGGATGTGAAGATGCAGTGTGAACAAGAACTCTACAGAAATATTAGGCGAAGTAGACTTCTCTCATCTTTCAAGTTATTGTACCAAATACCTCTGCATGCGTCATTCTTTTTGTCGTTTCTTGTCAGATCATACCAACTGACTGTTTGCGCGCGCGTGTGTGTGTGTGTGTGTGTGGACCGTATACTGATCAAGCAGGTTCGCATTCTTTTCCCTTCTTTCAAAACAGGCCCACTTGCGAACTGTCATACACATTTACTTCCTTGGCACGTAATCCGGGCTTGAGAGTGATCGGCGAAATTAGTTAACTGTTCAATTACGGTGATATTGTGATATTGAAGTAAAACCCCGTAGTAATGCTGTGTTGCAATAGTCATTTTTTTACCCTACGGAATGAAAGGCCTTTTCCAGCTTCTGTCTGTGGTATTTCGATGACCCATTATTTTGCTGCTTATTCACGTATCTTGTGCTACATTTATCAGTCCATTCACTTGCTTCATTCCACCGTACGTCTCCTACCCTTCTCAATTTCTTTTGACGCCTATCAGTGAAACGTCTCTTCCACTGTGATTTATGCGATAAGAATTTCACACAAGCCAACAAACTACTGATTCACAAGTCGACTGTTCACGAGGGTAAGTTGGGTGCTCGCTTAGCACCTTTTTCTTTCTCTGAATCTTTGCACCATATTCGTTTTTTGTGCCGTACCACATATCCGTAAAACACGTACTTCTCTTTATGGGACTCACGAGTACTGTATACTTATGGTTGGTAGTGGTAGGTAAGAAGTTTAGTTCTGTCACCGATGTGTTTCGGGTCCTGGAGCTCGAGGTCCGAATCCAGGCACCCAAATTTGGTGGTAAGCAGCTCTACAGTTGTCCGGCTTAATACCACGCTCAAACTAGCGAGGTCTTTTGTGTTTCGCCACTCAGAGTCCCGGGGCTTAGGTTACCGATTTTCATCAAAGAGCTACAGATCCTCGTGATTATGGGAAATTATCCCGTCGGCTTTTCGTCACACAAGTGTATAATTAATAAAAGTTGAATTTGATCGGCTACATTAGAAACCCGATGGAATTGAAAGGTCAACTTAGTAACACTGACTTTCTTGCATTTAACCTACCGTATCATAGGCCGGAGGTAGCACAGGAGAAGGGCGTTGTGAACTGTGGGTAACGCTTCTCATGAAATCACTCTACAACACACTTTTTACGGTCTAACATCTAATGTAGCGAATTTCCCAAGGACGAGTTTAGTTGCTAATCTGGCTAGATTCCACCGGGAATCTTCTTTTGCTCACTAAAAGTTCGCAAATACACACAAACCATGGTGGGTCACCAGGTTATTGAGGTAACTGTATATGTTATACTCGTTGCCTAATCTAAATGCAAAGTAATTCTTGAAAACTTTTATTAGACACCGTTGTGTGAGGAAGTGGACCCCATAATCACGGGAACTCACTGTTCACTTACGACAGCCGACATTCTTAACCCGTGGGATTTGGCTTGGCGACCCATTTGGCTAGCAGCAACTTGCTCTTGCAATCGTCATTGCTAGTGAGCACTTGGATGTAGTCGACAACTTTGCCTATATCTGAAGAACAGTACGAACCGGCGGCGATATTAGAGACGAGGTCACGTCACGTCTAGGAAGATGCATCGTGGTTTACCCTAATGCAAAGCGTCTACCGGACCATTGCGATATGGATTTCTTTCTAAACAGAAGAGTACGTAATGACGCATTCGAAGTCCTTCATTCCGTGGTTGAGTTCTGGGCCCTCCGTTTTGGGAACTTTTGATAGCTTTCGATATTTCATCTCTATTGTTTCCGAAGCGTTTCCCGTGTCTTTTGATACCATATTAGCGTATTAGTGAGGTTCAGTTACGTGTATATAGATAGAGGGCTGTCGTTTAACTGAAGTGATCCTACTGAACCGCCTCCCATCGCTTGAACACCTTCACTCATGATTGCCCATCACCTAATTTACCGATTGCTTTTTCCGAACTCCGAGCATGACTGAAAAAAGAGTCGCGGCGATTGATCCATGACTTCAAGTACGTTGTCGTAAAAGATAACGACTTCAGTGGTTTCTGTCGATCCTTCCCAATTATTGGGTTGAATATCGAGCGAAGATGAGTTTTACCGCATAGCTCAAAATTGAAAACCGTATCGTGAATACTGTACATACATGTTGTTCACGAATGCGCACGACCTCCGTCTACTGCTAACTCACCGACACCAAACTTGTGGAACAAATTACCCCATATCAGCAATATCAACAAGAAACAATAAAAAGAGTCCTCTTTTTTTTATCTTGAGCGGAGCACCACTCATTGATCCAATGTGTGATGCTTTTGTAATCCTTCTACAGTTTTGGTGCTCAGTCAGGATAATGGTTGTGCACTTGGTGATATTCAATTGAATGGAATCACGACTGTGCCGTATTTTGCTGTTTACTTTTGTTTTAAGTATACTTTTTGGACTTCAAAATTTGTTTTCCTCAACGTCTCGCTAACCCCCATTTTTCTGGTCGTTTTCAGTCTTTGGATTCACGTGTACTCCACTGATTTATAAATGTCCACTAACCGTCTGTTGTATTTTTCTCACATTCAGGTAAACGACCATTCGTGTGTGATGTCTGTGGTTCAACGTTTACCCAACTGGTTCACTTGAAATTGCACAAAGAGACCATTCACGAAGGTTAGCCTCTGATTTCAGTACAACGTTTTTATCCTACATAGCGGTAACTACCCCATAGAGAATGATCACATTACGCGGTTCGAGAATATTTTACACTGTGAACCGCAGTGAGCATAGTGCCCTATCATTTGTGAAATGAACACCAATCTGTTTCATTGGAATTCCCTGTTTGCCCGTGGTTGTTGATGTCATCCTAAAAGTAAAACGCATGTGTTGTAGAAGCATCTTTACAAACTATCCTCCACCAAATATCATTGTTATTATTATTATATTTCACACACCTGAATCCGGATTGTGTGCCAATCTTTATACAAAGAGAAAGTTCCATGATTTGTTTATGGGCGGAGTATACTGCCAGCTTGCTCAGGCCCATACAGCTGAATTTTCTTTGGAAATCCACAACCCGAGCCTTTGATTAGCCAAAGACTGACCCGCAAGGCAACAGGATGATATGTGAAAACTGCAGTCTAGTCTGAACTGGCATCCAGTTTATCGGATCAGACGCCTTCCAAGGTGCCCAATCAAGCAGTTAACCACTGCTATAGCCAGAAAAGTGTAGGTGTTTGTCGTTAGTGTACCTCTTCTTGGTTGATTTGAAAGTAGGATTTTTAACTAACTCCTCTAGGTATATTGCCAGTGGTTCACCGACCCGGCTGTAGCCTCGGATGTTGGCTTTTCGTCCGAGACGAGAAGGCAGTGAGTAGGCCTTTCTCAGTGGAGGCTTTTTGAGACGCTGTGTCCTATACGGAAGTTTCGCGAGGTGAAAAGGAAGGATAGTTAGTCACAACCCGAGACACCCAGGCGGTCCATACCTAGGCTTTCGGAGGCTGCTATATCCATAACGTTAGTTGATTTACACTCTGTTTGACAAAACGGAGGGGTTTCTCGTCACACGCATTTGTTCTACCAATTCGTCTGACTTTGCGATTTTCGATCGATGCGCGTTTGCATATTTTTCATATTCTCATCTATAACCCTTAACTTTATTCAACAAATAGTTCCATAGTGCGGTCCTATCGATAGAGTCGAAGGCCGCACGGATGCCTAAGAATACATGCTAGGCATGACGGTACTCTGGCGGCTGTCGGAGAGTAAAGATTTGACCGATGCATCCACGACCAGCGCGAAACCCAGCCTACTCCCCACACATAATGTACAGTCGGCGGAGAATGACGGACGCCAACAGGTTTGACCCTATCGAGATCAGGCTTATACCTCAATTATTGACGACGTCACTGCGCGGGCACTTTTTAAAGATGGGGACAACAATCGATTCCCCCAACGACGAAGGGACCGGCTCCGTGTTCCACACATTAGAGAACAGAACTTGTAGCTCTCTTGCAAGCTTTATTCCACCATCTTTAAATAGAGCTGAGGGAAGGACATCGGAGCCTGGCGAGTTGTGACATTCCAGTGCTCGGATCTCCGCCTCAGAAGGTGTGTCCGTTGGGACAGACCATAGGACTTTTCCCGGTTTTGGTTGCTGTCCTTTGGTTGCCCTTCTGGATGAACATTAGTAGAAAGACAGGAAAGTAGGATCAAAAAGAGAATTTGGAATTTCAGAGGAGAAATGTTACAGAAAAATTGAGAAGATGCACGAACGCTACTGTTTACGATACTCAGCTTTAACACTGAGTGTCTCTAACCATCGGGTACGAACATCCTGCGGTACAGGATCCTAACGGGACCTACGTGACCTAGACTCTTAGTTATGGTTTTCATACCATCACGATGAGACTGCACCTTGGCGTGGTTTGATGGCTTGCGCGCCTCAATGACCCTGCGAGCTATACAGGCTGGCTCCTCACAGTCGCAGATCCAATCATGCCTGGAAGGTCAACGGGT